CCAAGAACTCCAAAATGAGAATTAGAGAAAACATCAACACAGTTGTTCTTGTACCTTGGAATCAAACATATGTTTAAGCCTAAGCAACGTATGGATTGCTTCATCTCTAACCGTCACAAGCTCTTGTTGAAACCTACGCGCCTTCTTCTCAGAAACAATCACACGCGCCGCCGCTTCCTTCGTCGTGTTTAGTATCGTATCGGCGTAAGCTCTCTTCAACGCCGCTAATGTCTGTTAACCCCAACAAAATCAAAACCAAACGAATCAAACCCAGAAAAGGAAAACAAGACGAAACCCACATCCAAAAAACACTAATTTTATATCAAAACAACGAAATCGGAAACAAGAATATGTCTGATAAGAAGAAACAGAACGAAATTAACGAGAAATCGATTATTATTTTTTTGGTCCGGAATCGAAAATAGGAGCTCGAGAGCGACGGAGATTGAGGGATAAAAAGGTAATTTCACCTCTGGGTCGGCCATTGGAGATGATAATGCGGTTGCGGAGAAGCGATTTTGATTTTCCGACCAACGTCGGAGACTCGCGAAGAAGAAGAAGAAAGAAAGGCGGAAAAGGGTGGTTTTTTTTTCTTTTTTCCTTTGACGCGTCTTGTCTGTTAGGAACAGAAAGGAATATAAAATGACTTATTTACCCTTGGCAAGTCGATTTAATTTCCTAAAACGCCACGCACACGTCACGTCAGTCTCTGCACCGTATACTGCAAACGGCGGTGCGGTTTCCCGTTTTCTGCGTCTCTCTTTTCGTAATCCGCTTTTTGCTTTTCACATTTTTAGGTGGTAAAAAAGCTTTACATACACTTTAATTTTTTACCTCATTTAGATTTTTTGTTGTTGTTGTTGCCTAGTTTCGAGTTTCAACCAGCTACTATATTCCCCCATTAAATTCTACTATACATACACCCACGATCTATAAGTCATAAATTGAGTAAAATAAATGATTTAATTGGTTGCTAAATTCGTAGTTAACAAAAAAAAAGAGAATTTTAATTCCAAATTCGGATTAATCTCAAACTGTTTTACTTTATACATAGTGATAATCACAGAATTACCTAACAATTTTTATATAGTGGTCTGTCATAAACTTATTAAGATAAGTTTCAAAAAAAAAAAAAAAACTTATTAAGATTTCTTTTTTCAAAAAGAAAAAAAGAAAAACTTATTGATATTTCACATCAAAAATTATAAAAGATTTATATACGAAATTCTGACAAATGTCGATTAACTCATTATAAAGTTTAACATATTTTATCAAAATATGAATTGTATTTGGAATATTCTCGTAATTACATTTTGGGATGCTCTTGGTTCTTTTGAAATTTGTATTTGTGAAAAAACTAAAATTGCTATGCAAGACATAATCGCTATTCTCGAAAATTGTTTCTTTTTTGTTGCTAATACTCGAAAATTGTTAAAAAAGAGAGTGTAGTCGAACCAAAATTATACTATTATTGTAGAACACTAGAACTTTTATTCATGAGCACAATACTATTTTCCTTGTAATATTAGGCGCCAAATTAGTTCGACCCAATATCGAGCTAACCAATTTAAACCAGCAACTATTCTGTAAACCGGGGTAATGACCGGCTGGTTCCTCACGACTGTTATCCACAATAAGAATCCACGTGTCTTCTTCTTCAATCCCCCTCCTCTTCTTCCATTTTTCCGCCATTTCACCGAGAAGAGCTTTTGGGTGAGAAAAATCCTCTTCGAAAAATATCTCTTCATCTAAATTCGTTTGCGTCTTCTATCTCCAGCTTGCTGGTGACTGGTAACTGAGCCTTTAATCACGAATCTCCGATTCATTTCAGATCGGATTCCGACTTGCCGAGTTTGATTTTCCCGAGAAAATTTCCGGAAGATTGCTAAACCCGTTTATCGGTTTATGTGAACTCTAGTTTCCAAAATGAACCTCGCAATTCCAAATCCCAACTCACACCAGCTCTCGTTCCTCATCCAGAATTCCAGTTTCATCGGAAACCGGAGATTCGCAGACGGAAACCGTCTCCGTTTCCTTTCTACAGGGAAAAGACCATGCTCCGTCGCCGGAAAAATTAAGGCGAAGACGAAGGATCTCGTTTTGGGTAACCCTTCCGTATCAGTGGAGAAAGGAAAGTACAGCTACGACGTCGAATCGTTGATTAACAAGCTGAGCAGCCTCCCACCTCGAGGCAGCATCGCGAGATGTTTAGACATATTCAAGAACAAGCTTTCGCTGAATGATTTCTCGCTCGTGTTTAAAGAGTTCGCCGGTCGTGGAGATTGGCAAAGGTCGCTTCGGCTCTTCAAATATATGCAGAGGCAGATTTGGTGCAAACCTAATGAGCATATCTACACCATTATGATCTCTTTGCTCGGTAGGGAAGGTTTACTGGACAAATGCTATGAGGTGTTTGAGGAAATGCCAAGTCAAGGTGTGGCACGTAGCGTCTTCTCTTACACGGCTTTGATCAATGCTTATGGTCGAAATGGAAGGTATGAGACCTCCCTTGAGCTTCTTGATAGGATGAAGAATGAAAGGATATCACCTAGTATTTTGACTTACAACACAGTGATCAATTCGTGTGCTAGAGGTGGCTTAGATTGGGAAGGTTTGTTGGGTTTGTTTGCAGAGATGAGACATGAGGGGATACAACCTGATATTGTCACCTATAACACGCTGCTTAGTGCTTGTGCCATTAGAGGTTTAGGTGATGAGGCTGAAATGGTTTTTAGAACCATGAATGATGGTGGGATAGTTCCGGATCTTACTACGTATAGTCATCTCGTTGAGACATTTGGTAAGTTGGGTCGGTTGGAAAAAGTGTCTGATCTTCTAAGTGAGATGGCTTCTGGTGGCAGTTTGCCGGATATCACGTCTTATAATGTGTTGTTAGAGGCATATGCGAAATCAGGTTCTATTAAGGAGGCGATGGGGGTCTTCCATCAGATGCAGGCTGCAGGGTGTATGCCGAACGCAAATACATATAGCTTTTTGCTAAATTTGTTTGGACAGAGTGGGAGGTACGATGATGTTCGGCAGCTTTTTCTTGAGATGAAATCTAGCAATACAGATCCTGATGCTGCCACATACAACATTCTGATAGAGGTTTTTGGGGAAGGTGGGTATTTCAAGGAGGTGGTAACTTTGTTCCATGACATGGTGGAGGAGAATATTGAACCTGACATGGAGACATATGAAGGTATAATATTTGCTTGTGGGAAGGGAGGACTCCACGAAGATGCTAGGAAGATTTTACAATATATGACAGCTAAGGATGTCGTGCCAAGTTCCAAGGCGTACACTGGGGTTATTGAAGCATTTGGGCAGGCTGCTTTATATGAAGAAGCACTTGTTGCTTTTAACACCATGCATGAAGTGGGAAGCAATCCAAGTATTGAAACATACCACTCACTGTTATATTCTTTTGCAAGGGGAGGACTGTTCAAGGAGTCTGAAGTCATTTTGTCTAGGTTAGTGGATTCTGGTATTCCCAGGAATAGAGATACGTTCAATGCACAAATAGAAGCCTACAAGCAAGGAGGCAAATTTGAAGAGGCTGTCAAGACATATGTAGATATGGAGAAGTCAAGATGTGATCCTGATGAAAGGACGCTTGAGGCTGTTTTAAGTGTGTATTCTTGTGCTCGACTTGTTGATGAATGCAGGGAGCAGTTTGAGGAGATGAAAGCTTCTGATATACTGCCCAGTATCATGTGCTACTGTATGATGCTGTCTGTTTATGGAAAAACAGAGAGGTTAGTGCCTTCGCCATCATTACACTCTTTCTTATGTTGTTTTTTGCGTGTATTTTTATAGCTCATACCTTACTAAGTCTCAAGTATAACAGTCACGCGAATGGATAAAAGAGATGTCAAACAAACTAGTCTAGTGATTTTGTCTTGTTGGTCGAGGCCTCGGGACAGATCAATTTCCCACTGTATGCTTCCACTTAGCAATTGCACAGTTCACATTGTCGTTGCAAGCTCATATAACTAGTCTGAGCGTTAGACCATGATACCTGATTACCGAAAATACAGTGTCAAATACCTTTCATTTTAAGATTTGGATCTTTGGTCTTCTTAACATTTCTACTTTTCAAACCATTAGCCCTGTCCATAAACTGTTAATGAGTTAGCCAAATGATGTTTTTATTCCATCATCATAGCATTTTACTCATTCAGATACATGGTCAGGCATGGGAGAGATAAGCTACTGTAATAACTTGAGTTTTCTGGTCGATTCTTTATCATTTTAAATAACAGTTGTAATTTTTGTTTTCAGGTGGGACGATGTCAATGAGTTACTGGAGGAGATGCTTTCAAATAGAGTATCAAATATTCATCAAGTTATTGGGCAAATGATCAAGGGAGATTATGATGATGACTCAAATTGGCAGATAGTGGAATATGTTTTGGACAAACTCAATTCAGAAGGATGTGGTTTGGGAATAAGGTTTTACAATGCACTGCTTGATGCTTTGTGGTGGCTGGGCCAGAAAGAGCGAGCTGCAAGGGTACTCAATGAGGCAACAAAACGTGGACTTTTCCCTGAGTTGTTCCGGAAAAACAAACTTGTGTGGTCTGTTGATGTGCATAGGTAGCTTAAGAGCCCTCTACACTGGCTTCATTTCAAGTGGTATGAAATGGTTGAGTTGCAGTCAATCTAATTCTTTGTTTTCAATATTCTGCAGGATGTCAGAAGGTGGCATGTACACAGCGCTATCGGTTTGGCTAAACGATATGAATGAAATGCTTTTAAAGGGAGAGGATCTTCCTCAACTAGCTGTTGTTGTATCAGTGTAAGTATTTTGCTACTGGCTGGCTCATTGCAGGGATGTTTTATCTTGTCCAACTTTGTGTGTTTTATCTTGTCTTCTGGCTTTTGTAACTCTTCTTGTATTTTCAGACGGGGAGAACTAGAGAAAAGCTCCGCTGCAAGAGAATCTCCCATCACAAAATCTGCTTTCGCCTTCTTGCAGGATCATGTCTCGTCATCATTTTCCTTCACGGGATGGAACGGAGGTCGCATTATGTGCCAGCGATCTCAGCTCAAGCAGTTACTATCTACGAAAGAACCAACTTCAGAGGAGTCCCTAAATAACAACCTAGTCCCTTTAACAAACTCGCCAGTTTTTGCTGCTGGAACAAGAACTTCAACAAGCAGTGACACGAACCACAGCGGTAACCCTTCCCAAAGAAGAACCAAGATGAAAAAAGAACTAGCAGGAAGCCCAGCTTAACCGGTATGCATCATCTCTGTTGCCAATATCCAGCAATCAAAGGCTTCTTCTATCTTCCTCCATCTAGACTGGTCGGTGGAAAAAACTGTGCTCTTCTTATGGTCTTTAACATTCACTCACTAGCACACCATGTCCATGATTACTATGTTTCGGTGCCAAGCAGTTAGTGTCAGCTTCTGATAAACAGAGGGAGCTCGAGAAGAAGATAAATGATGATCTTAGTTTATATGCAGAAGCAATGCTACAAAATGTCAAGTAAGTAGGCAACTAAATGTTTTGATAGAATTGTTAGACAGACACATGATTTTGTAGCCATAGATTTATTCGTTTTTCATTCAACGGTCTTTCTGGTTACTATGAAGCTAAATGTTGGCGTAAGATCGAAGCTCGAGTTACAAATACAGGATCTATCAATCACGATTTATCGAAAAATCTTTACTTTTTGGCTTGTGACCTCTCTATCTCGAAATCTAACTTATTACATAGCAACAATTACCCAATGATGTTAAAATTAACTTAAACACACAAATACTCCACCATAAATAAAGAAGAAAAAGATACTAGTTGATGTGCAAGATTCTTCTTCTGTATGATTCATCTTTTCACTCTCCTTTTCTCAGGTTTGTGTTTGGATTCTTTCTGGTTTTGGAAAAGTCACAACAAGCTTCTCAATCCAAATTGGTAAAATAATAAAGAGGAAAAATAAAGGAGAAAGAAAGGGTCTTCCTTTAGTTAGTGCTTCACACACTACACCCTTTAAGGGTCCACTTTTGTGTGCATAAAACTAATGGCGCCTTTGCTTTCTAACCGATGCTAGTGCCTTGTGTGTTTTTGCTGTCTTCCAAAAACTATTTACCAAAACTATGTGTATGCTTTACAGAAACTTTTCCTATATTTAGTACTATAAGATAATAATTATGATTATAATGCCATAATACAGTAGATGTGAACATTTTGCATATAGCCGACTCTCATCCTAACATTCTACTAAAGTAACACCTCTTTAATCAATGTTATAGTTGAGATTCAAGTTATAATGAATTAATGATCATGCTGATTATAGTCCAATTAGGTCCTGATTCTATATAATATTTGATATAAGTCTAATTTCTTGATATTGTAAGTTTTTGTGTTGAATTTCAAAGTTATAATTTTCAAAAAAGATTTACCTGTCTCCAAGGTCTTTTTCTCTTATTTAAAATCTACTCTTAGATCGACAAGATATAGTACTTTTTATAAAAAAAAAAAAAAAAGGGTACAATGATGGAGCTGTAACTAAGATATTAAAAGAGTTTTTGAGTACAGAATCATTTCAGAAGCTGACTATTTTTCTAAGATCAAGTTGCATGCGCTTAGAAGAGAGAGACATTGACTTGATCTGATTCGTTTAGTACATTTATAACCCTACAATTTTATCATAAACAAATAGTATAAGGGTAACGTTAAACACAAATAAAAAGGGTCGATTTAATCATATTGTTTTTAATCGGATATAATTAGGTATTTCCTCTTTCTGTTTTAACTTTTGAGACTTCGAAAGTTCGAAGGGTACACGAAATTATCTTTTTCTTGTTAATTTA